CCCTTGCGCACCAAGGGTGAAGTCCCTGATGTCCTGATCCCTTGGATCGGCAGAGCACGTCTTCAGCTGCGAGAGCGTTTTCGCTCGGAGTTTCCTGTCCTGCGCTTGCACTTTGACAGAGGTGGCGAGTTCTCCTCCGACCTCTTGGCAGCCTACTGTGCCGAGCACGGCATTCGCCAGTCGTTCACGCTTCCGGCCTCTCCACAGCAGAATGGGGTTGCTGAGCGCCGCATTGGCTTGGTCATGGAGGTCGCTCGTACCTCCTTAGTCCACGCGGCTGCCCCCCACTTTCTGTGGCCGTTTGCGGTCCGGTACGCTGCGCATCAGCTCAACCTCTGGCCCCGTGTCTCCGCTCCGGAGACCTCGCCCACACTGCTGTGGACGGGGGAGGTTGGCGATGCGTCACGCTTCCGTGTCTGGGGATCCCGAGCTTTTGTTCGCGACGCGTCTGCGGACAAGCTCTCCTCCCGCACTGCTCCCTGTGTCTTTCTTGGCTTTGTTCCGGATGCGTCTGGCTGGCAGTTTTACCACCCCGCCTCGCACCGCGTCTTCCCCTCTCAGGACGTCACTTTTGACGAGTCCGTGCCCTTCTACCGCCTCTTCCCCTACCGCACTGCCCCGCTCCCTCCCCCGCCTCTCTTCCTCGCGCCAGGTGCTGCAGTGGTAGACCCCCTTCCCCCTCAGGGTGCCGCTCCCTCAGGTGTCTCTCAGGTAGACCCGGTTGAGCCTGCCGAGGTAGCTGTCGACTCGCGTCCTGCTAGAGGTGCTGAGCCTGAGCGTGCGGAGCCTGAGCGTGCGGAGCCTGAGCGGGTGGAGCCTGGGGGTGCTGAGTCTGGGGGTGCTGAGACTGGGGGTGCTGAGCCTGGGGGTGCTGGGTCTGGGGGTACTGAGCCTGGCGTTGCTGAGTCTGGGGGTGCTGAGCCTGGTGGTGTTGCAGTTGACTGTGAGGCGCCTGGAGGACCTCCCTCTTCGCAGCAGCTACGTGAGTGGTACTCACGGTACTGCAGCCTCCGGCAGGGTACGTCTCGGGCTCGTGGTGCTACTGGAGTTGGTACTCGTGTTTCCCCACCACGGCGGGAGCCGCCCTCTTCCCCACAGCTTCGAGAGTGGTACGCTCGGCACATCAGTCTCCGGAGTGGAGCTGCTGGTGCTGGGGTCCCCGGAGTTGACGCTGCTGCAAGTGCTGCGGACCCTGGTGCTGGAGGTGCTGCTGCTGCTGGCGGTGCTGCTAGAGGTGCTGCTCGTACTGAGGACCCGGGCGTTGGAGCTGCTGTGGGTGCTGCGGACCCTGCTGCTGGAGGTGCTGCTGCTGCTGGAGGTGCTGGAGGTGCTGCTGCTGCCGCTGGAGTGGGGGACCCGGAGGGTGGAGCTTCTGCTGGTGCTGAGGACCCTGCCGCTGGTGTCTCTGCTGGTTTAGGAGTTGCTGCACGGCCACGGCCGTACTTCGTTCCGCTCCTTCAGCAGGTTCTTGGTCAGACTCCTCCTCCTTGTCCTCCTCTCGCCTTAGAGTGTCCGCCGTCTGTCCAGTCACAGCCACAGTTACCGCCTGCCTCCCCACTCCCTGTGCCTACTCCTTACACTGGTCCGACTGGAGGTCTTGCTGAGAGACGTGAGCCTGGGTCACGTCCTGTGTCACCTGCGTCTCGTCGAGCGTCGCCTGTTCGTGCTGCTACCACTGGTAGTCGTGTCCAGCGTCAGCGTCCTCCTGCTGTCCCAGGCACTCACCAGATGGCGCTTCGTCAGTCCACTGCTCCACAGTGTGTCGCTCTCCCGTCGCCTCCTGCGTCCTCTCTTCCTGCTCTTGCTGACCCGGAGTCAGACACCCTTCGTGCTGCCAGTCCTACTGTCACACGTCTCCTGGCTACAGTTGTCACTGACCCTTCCTTTGAGTCCGCTGCTGCGTCTGCCTTGGTCACTGAGCTTGTCGACTTTGCAGCTGCGTGTCGTCTAGACTACGCTGCGAGTCTTGTCGCTGAGTCTGAGTCTGTCTGTCCTCCGTCCGTCGGGGGTGAGTGTGCTCTTGGCACGGACGTTCTTGAGGACCGACAGGAGGAGTTTGGTTGCCTTGCCGCTGCTTTGCCCCATCTCGTGTCCATGCTTGTTGCCCCTGAGGGAGACCCGGATGCACCAGACATCCCGACCCCACGCTCTTACGCAGAGGCGATGGCCGGTCCCTACTCCTCTCAGTGGCAGTCAGCCATGGACACAGAGATGGCTTCCTGGAAGTCCACTGGCACCTACGTCGACGAGGTTCCCCCACCTGGGGCGAACATCGTCAGTGGCATGTGGATTTTCAGGGTGAAGCGGCCGCCGGGCTCTCCGCCTGTCTTCAAGGCGCGTTACGTTGCACGAGGCTTCAGTCAGCGAGAGGGAGTTGACTTCTTCCAGACCTTCTCCCCGACCCCGAAGATGACCACTCTTCGGGTTCTGCTACACGTCGCCGCTCAGCGTGACTACGAGCTCCACTCTCTTGACTTCAGCACAGCTTTCTTGCAGGGCAGCCTGCACGAGGAGATCTGGCTGCGCCGCCCACCTGGCTTCACTGGGTCGTTCCCTCCTGGTACCCAGTGGAGCCTCAGGCGGCCAGTCTACGGTCTCCACCAGGAGCCACGTGAGTGGCACGACACACTGAGGACTACACTTGCGGCTCTTGGGTTCGCTCCTTCTACTGCTGACCCGTCACTGTTTCTACGCACTGACACCTCACTGCCGCCGTTCTACATCCTCGTGTACGTCGACGACTTGGTCTTTGCCACTTCTGACACAGCTGGTCTCGCTCACGTGAAGTCCGAGCTGCAGAAGAGACACACGTGCACAGACCTGGGTGAACTGACAAGCTATCTTGGCTTGCGGATCACCCGGGACAGAGCACGGCGCACCATCACCTTGACTCAGTCACACATGGTGCAGCAGGTCCTTCAGCGCTTCGGCTTCACGTACTCCTCGCCTCAGTCCACTCCTCTGCCTACGGGACACTCGCTCTCAGCTCTGCCTTCGGATGAGTCTGTAGAGCCGAGTGGTCCGTATCCAGAGCTTGTGGGCTGCCTCATGTACCTGATGACCTGCACTCGACCTGACCTTGCATACCCTCTCAGCATCTTAGCACGCTATGTCGCTCCCGGCCGTCACCGGAAGGAGCACATGGATGCAGCTAAGAGGGTGTTGCGCTACTTGTGCAGTACGTCGGGCATGGGGCTAGTGCTTGGAGGGCGAGACCGGCCTGTTCTCACTGGGCACTCAGACGCTTCTTGGGCAGACGACCAGGCTACTCAGCGGTCGTCTCAGGGTTACACCTTCAGTCTTGGCTCTGGCTCTGTCTCTTGGCGTTCTACTCGTTCTTCTTCTGTTCTCGGCTCCAGCTGTGAGGCTGAGATCTACGCCACGGCCATGGCTGCCCAGGAGCTTCGCTGGCTCACCTACCTGCTGACTGACCTTGGAGAGCAGCCTCGTTCTCCTCCAGTACTGTACGTCGACAACAAGGCAACCATAGCCTTGTGTCAGGAGCACAGACTGGAGCACAGGACGAAGCACATTGCTCTGCGTTACTTTCTAGCTCGAGAGCTACAGCAGCGTGGTCAGCTTCTTCTGCGTTACGTGGCCACTGAGGCCAACACTGCTGATGTGTTCACCAAGGCGCTTCCGCCTGTTGACCATCAGCGTTTTTGCACTCTTCTAGGCCTTGTGCCGGCTGTTCCTCACTTGCTTACTTCTTGACCTTGCCTGTACTGTGATCATTATATATATACCTGCATGTTTGCCCTTGCTAGGTTGTGATCATTGTACCTCTTGCTCTGTTATAAAACTGCATGTGAACTGGTCTTGTGACCGCTTACTTGTGCTCGGAATTTGTGTGGAATCCTCGAGATCCACCATGAGCTTGTTTGCCTTGTTTTGCCTTGTTTGGTCTTGTGACCCCTAGGTCTCCCCCACTTTGCCTATGGGGGTGTGTCAAGCATTATATGTTTGTGTGGTTCTAGGCTGTAGTGGGTCACACCATAGGGGGTACACCAGATTAGGGTTTCACATTTGTACCCTTGTTCCTGCTAGTCACATTCATTCCTGTTTCTCATTCTGACAAATGGATGCCAATCCAACACCATACCACAACGGATTCACGTTTGTTACTATTGATAATCGTGTTAGAATGTCGTCCGCTGTCCCTAAACCATTGTGGCAAAGCCTAAAAGTGCACAGTACATCTGTCACAAGTAATAATTCTGGACGATCGTTGTGTGTGTGACGTAAAATCACCGATTAACTTACACCAACCCCGTGGTAAACCATTTGCAACTTAGAGTTTGATGAAATGCATTGTTGTATGTTTGAATAAAACTTAGTGATTTATGCGTTGGCAACAGTGATTGGCCGACGCATCTCAAACGATTCCCCCCGCAACACAGTCGTCAGCCAAGAGGTACTTCAGCCATTGAGCGGCTGAGATCGAGCGGTAGGTGGGTTTATGCTAGGGTGGCTACACGTACACCGTCCAATATAGCCTGATAGGGTTACATTAATCTCTCTAGTCTCGCAACCCACCCCAACCACCCTCGTGTCCCACCCACCTGCTTCCGTTACTCCCTGGACCAACACTTTGACGCTGCTCGTTGCCTTGACACACTTTAGCGCGAAGCATAGTGGCTACTATGACAGATTTATTTGAAGCGGCAGTTTTCGAAACCCCTTACAGTGATAGACCGTTGATAATCCCATCGTGGGATTCAGATGCAGAACCCTTTCGAAACCGGCTCAACCCTTCCGCGCGATTTGCAACTTTGCTCCTCCTACAATTACCATGATACGTGCAACACGTAACCAAGCAATGGAGGAGGAACAGGCCGGCTGCCGCGCGACAAGGAGGACGTCTAAACAAATCGATAGGGAGTGTGGTGGCGGCGCTAAAAAAACTAATGCGTCCGTCGCTCGTGGCATTGGGAAAAAGAAAGCGGCGGCAAATAAGGTCGCGCGCGGTCAACAGGAGGCCGGCAAGAAAGCGGAAGACAATGGCCCAAAACCAACGCCACGCAAGCGTGTTTCTACAGTGAACAAAGATGCGGATGTTGCGTCTGCTGGAACCGAGCCCGGTCCGAGTAAAGACAGCACCACTGGCGGCAACGAAGATCCGGGGCGAGGGAGCGCGAGTCTTGCACTCCCGTCGGCGGAGATGGAGGGATTGGCGACGGAGGGAAATCACGGAGGCGATCCCCGCGCCGAGCATGCCGCAACCAAGGAGTCAGAGGCGGCGGCAACGCAACACCATCTGACGCTGCTCCAGCCGACCGTGGTCGAAGTTTCTGCAGCCGTGCTGGATAAGGACAAGGTGGCACAGCACGAGTCGGTGGGGCTGGTCGGTGGCTCTCCTCCTTCTGGTGGACGGGGAAGGCGTAGGCAAAGGAAGAGCGATGGGGAGGAGGATGATGACACCGCCGTGCCCGGGGACCTCATTACGCGGGCGAAGAGGCGGCAGACGACATGTAGTGCTGACGACGCCGGAGGCGCGGCAGTTGGGACACCACGAGGCGCCAAGGAAGCTAGTGGCAAGGCGGGCGGTCAAGCATTGCGCCAGAAGGGCCGACCCGCAGCAAGAAAAGCATCCGGCGGAAGGGGAGGCAAGAAAGCAGCGACGGGAACAAAGCCGAAACGGGGCGATGAAGACCCCGGTGATGCGGAGGAGGAGGAGGATGAGGAGGAGGATGCGGAGGGAGAGGAGGATGAAGAGGAAGCGGAGGAGGATGACGCGGATGTTGGGGAGGATGAAAAAGATGAGAATGATGGCGGGGAGGACGAAGAGGAGGAGGAGGAGGAGGAGGAGGAGGAGGAGGAGGAGGAGGATGAGGAGGAGGAGGAGGAGGAGGAGGAGGAGGCAGAGGAGGAGGAGGAGGAGGCAGAGGAGGAGGAGGAGGAGGAGGAGGAGGAGGAGGAGGAGGCAGAGGAGGAGGAGGAGGAGGAGGAGGAGGAGGAGGAGGAGGAGCAGGGTGACGACGAGGAGGAGGATGTGGAGGAGGAGGAGGAGGAGGATGAGGAGGCAGCGGAGGAGGAGGAGGAGGAGGAGGAGGAGGAGGAGGAGGAGGAGGAGGAGGTGGAGGAGGAGGAGGAGGAGGAGGAGGAGGAGGAGGAGGAGGAGGAGGAGGAGGAGGAGGAGGAGGAGGATGTGGCGCCAGTGAAGGGTCGGGGCGGGCGTGGCAGACGGGTGAGTGGTACAGGGAAGGAGGGGGGCCGGACTCGCCCTTCCCGAAAACGCGGGGCAGTTGACGCTGCGCGCGGCGAAGCATCGGGCAAACCGAAGGCGCGTAAGGTGAAGGTCGAAAGTGAAGGGGTTGGTAAAAAGCAAGGGAGCCAGGGAGCAAAAGGGGATGGAGCAACAGGGGCTCGATCCTAGATCCTCACACCATGAGTCGCACGTTTCGTCTGGTGGGAAGAAAGGTATCCGTGACCTTCAGGCGAAGAGAAAGCAAAAACTATCGGGGTCGGGTAGGTTCGAATTTACGAACCTTGCAACCAATCGTATTGCAGTCCCTTGTACCAGCCACACCCGTGCCACCAAACTACCCTCGAAAAGCGAGGTAAACTAGGAATGTAGCTCTGATACCAGGTGTTATAAGTTGTAAAATAGAGTGCGCAGAATAGTGAAGAACGAGGTTGTGACTCAGTGAATTGCAATACAATGAAGGCACGCGCTAATATAGTGACTACCCTTGCTTGGTGGGAACCTCGAGTAAACGAGGTTGGGTGCAGGTTTGGCGATCGGAAAAGCCGAAGGCGACGCGAGGAGCCTCGGCACGTGGATGTCGGCCAAATGTGCACATTCCAAAGATTGGGGTTGTACGCGTAGCAATCAAGCCCGATAAGGAATCCGGGGAAATTCCTTACACATACCAAGTAAACACATTGTACACTCACCTCTACATCTCTTTTCCATAAGGGTGTTTAACCATTTTGTTTTTGTTTGTTTTTTTTTTTTGCGGACGGTCCCCATGTTTTGAAACGGATGGTCCTATTAGCAAGAACAGGACCATCTGTAATGGCATTTCGGAACTTTGCCACCGTTCGAATGGGAAAGTAACATTTTTTGCTAGTTCCATACATTCGCGGATATTGTAGCCTCGTTGGGGGCACATTAATTTTCGTTACCCAATTTAGGACTGCTCGCAAGTTTTACCCACTACACGCGCACCATAAATTGAAACATTGAGTCGCCTGTTCTGGGAAATTAGTCAAAGATAATCGGAAATTATATATTTTTGGTTTTTGAGCGCCAATCTCTGTCCAGGACTGTTGGACTGTTTGTTTAGGTTTGAACGGTCCACGATTCACACTGTCCACACATGTAGCCACTCGCGCACTCGCAAACGCATTGTCGTGCGGGCGTAGCAGCAGCTATACACACGCAACCGCTCGCGCAACCACGCCCGCGCCCGCAATTGCGCGTGCACCAACAGCCGTATGCGAATGCTCCGCTGTACGCGGCTGCCCCCCACCCCCCGTACTAACACACATCTACCGCACGCATCACAGCAGCCGTGCACACACCTGCAACCGCACGTACAGCAGCGCACCTGCATCCGGCACACTGCACCGCACGCACAGCAGCCTTAACTGCCAGCCCGTGCCCTTGTTGATGCTTCTCGCAGCGGTTGGAGGCTGCATCTTCTCTCTTTTAAAGGCGTAGTTATTAGGATTTTGTGCTTCCTCCTGAACATTGTTTTAGGGTTGGCACGCCGTTCCTAGCTGTCGCACATCGTTCCTCCATTTGCTCCGCACCCTGGTTGCTCCTAGACTCGTCTCTCTGGCTCCATTCGCACCTAGCTCCGGTGGTTCCTAGCCTTTTGCTCCTAGTTCTCGACCTGGCGTTTGCACGAGCCTGCATTTCAATGGGGAGGGTAGAGCGCTAGACTTTTCCACCTGGCTCTTCCGCGCCGAGTTGTACCTGCAAAGTCAGCGCCAGGATAGTGACGCACTCTGGGCGCACGTCTCTGGTGACCTGCCTTCACCTCTGCGCCCTGCTGACCTGCCTCGTGAGCCTACGGACATAGACCGGGAGCGCTTTGCTCAGGCCCTTACACCCCTGTCGGTGTAGCAGTCTCATGATGCTGCAGCTCGTATTGCACTCAACAGCCTTCTAACCGAGACCAGGGAAGCCCACTTCACCCAAGTTCACTAAGCGTTAGCTACCGTGCTCCCTGTACCACTTGCAACCGGCCCCCCGCCCATGCACATCACACATCACTTCATCATGACTAGCCTCCTTGATCATCTTGCATATGTACGCAACGCACTTCTTCCGAAGCACCCTGGTGCACTCATTATCGAGGTCCTTGAGACAGCTCTCAAGGACATCAAGAGCAACATCCGCTATGTGGCATACGCTTCTGCTGCCGTAGTTCCCCCACTCTTTCAGGGTTGTACTATTCCACACCTCCCCACCTTCGCCGCTTCTCTCGCATCTACTGTGCTCCCGCTTTTGGCGAGACTGCAGCCATGTCCATCATTAGTGGGCAAACCCGAGGTAGGGGAGGTGAGAAGGGAGGGAAAGGTGGTGGCCGGGGTGGTGGTGGTGGGGGTGGCGGAGGTAGTGGTGGTACTAGTGCGTCTAGTGAAGGCAGTATTGGAGGTGAAACTTAGTTTGCAGGCCCAACGAGAGGGGGTGCTGGACTTGTTGGTTGGTACACAGCAGAGCAACAACAGTAGTCCCAGCAATAGCAGCCACATATAGGACAGCAACAGCAGGTGTAGCAGGGACCATAGTAGCAGGAACAGCCGCTGCCGCAGATCCAACAGCAGTTTCAGCAGTCAAGACCTGGTGGACAATACCAGGAAGTGATGGACGTGGCGGCGGCCCACCCAGCTGGTCGTGACGTACTGCTGCCCCTACTCCCTGCCTCTACCTTGTTCAGACTAGGACATGTGAGGGTGGCCCCAGTGGCGTCTTCACCCTCCGAGCCTGTGCTTTGCGCAGCTCACGGACCGTTCCGCGTGCATTACGGCTTGGTCCTCGCTCCGGACTGGGCCCCACTAGCTCACTCCCTTGGTCTTGCGTTGTCTGAGATCGCTGCGGTGGAGTTATTTGTTGCTTTGCCATCTGCTTCTGTGGTGTATGCTGATGTTGACTATAGTACTGCTGGATCTATTTCCTCGCATGTTCGTAGCCTAGGATCCCTGCTTGTTGCTAGTGTAGGTACTTGTGCTTCCATTCTAGGTGCTTGTGTAGTTTCTAACCTGGGTGCACCTACGGCTGACGCGTCGCTCTCCTTCACGCTGGACTCTAGCGCATCTCAGTGCTATTTTCACGACCACACGACGGTCACACCGCTTCCTACCCAGGTTCCGGTTGCCATGGATGATATTAATTCAGGACCAGATGCTGCCCGCAGCTCTACCATGCTCCTGTGCCCGGCTGTCCCCTCTGATGTCCTCAATGGTCTCCACATCCCCTTGCTCTCCAAGAACTTGGTGGGTGTTGGACCCTTTCAGGACCTCGGTGTTGGCACGTGGTTACATGCGTACGAGCGTCTTGCGACCTGCACAAACGGTGCCACTAGGGCAACTCAGGCCACGGCGAGCCCCGCTAAGTTCTCTTCACACTACACACCGCGTCTCCCCAGGTAGATGCGTCTGGTAAGGTAGCTAAATCTGGTTAGGTTGCTGCGTCGTGCTCCCGTCGGCCGCTCACCCAGCCGATGATGGAAAGCGAGCAAATCTGGAGAGCGTACAAGAGATTAAGTCCGCCGATTTCGACGGAACATTGCGTGCAGCTCACGTAACCTTAAACTATGAGCAGGCACACGTTGGAAAGGGCTTACTCTCTAATTTCCAGAATGGTAGCGCACGCCTTCAACCAAGATCTAGGCCGATCGCTATCGCGATGTAGGTGCAACGGGGTATCCTGGCGAAATTACTTGGCAGCCATGGATTAGATCAAGAAAGTAGCTTTAGCAAGAGTTCAGATATGCAAAGTGACGAGTTGTTCAAACCCTACCAACCCAACCCTCGCCCTACAACAATCCTTAACAACCCAAAGTGCTAAACTATCAACACTAAAAGTGTTGTAGTGAATAGCAAAGGTTTGTTGATGCTTGTTGGGTGCAAGGTCAATTCCAGCCCACAACAAGTCTAACCACCACATTTTGCCCAAACCCTTAGCCCACAACCAGCTAGAGCAAAATACCACAACCACCTATACAATCAACGCTCTCCCTTGCTTGTGCTGGAAATGGCTGAACACCACTGGGAAAAATCCTTCACTTCACTCCCCCTTGCCCAGGGAGGGGCGCCATCCACAGCATGAGGTCGTCAAGGCAGAGAAGCACCAGCCCTCCCACATTCTGCTCAGGCACCATGCTGACATGGGGTTGCATCCCCATTAAGGACATGCACACACCATGCCGCTCAAAAGGGAGGGGTTTTGTGAGTATATCTGCTGCTTGACAGTTGGTGGGGCACTGCCGGAGGATCACCTCGCCGCACGCCACCATCTCCCTGATGAAATGCCACTGAACCTGCATGTGCTTGGTGCGGCCATGCAAGCATGCATTCTGTGCAAGGGCAATGGCAGACTGGTTGTCCAAAAACACAGACACACCACCAGCAAACTCATGCCCAAGCTCCCCAAAAAAACGCTTCAGCCACATACCCTCTTGAATGCACTAACACAGACTGATGTACTCACTCTCAGTGGTGGACAATGCAACCACTGGCTGCCTCTTGCTCTGCCAAGAGATGGCTGTACCATTAAGGCAATAGACATAGCCGGTGTGACTCTTTCGATCAGCTGAATCTCTAGCATATTCAGCATCACTAAAGCCCACCAACTCAACCTGAGGCTTGCTGTGTGCGGGGTAGAAGATACCTGACTTGACAGAACCTTTCAGGTACCTTAGCACTCTCTTAGCAAGTGAAATGCCTTGGGACAAGACACCACCTTGGACAGCTGTGACACTGCATAAGCAATCTGGGGCTGTGTGGTTGTGCTTGCATACATGAGAGACCCCACAATGCTTTGATAGAGCTGGACCAGCTCATCTCGCAGTAAAGGCTCCTCAGCATGTGCATGCACGTGGAACCCTGTAGGGAGAGGGGTACGCATGGGGTTAGCCTCAGAAAGGCCAAAGGACTCAAGCATGTTGATAATGTACCTCTCCTGATGAATTAAGATGCCACTCTCATCACGCTCAATCTGCACCCCCAAATAGTACTTAGCCTCCCCCAAGTCCTTCATGCGGAAACGAGAGGACAAGAGACCCTTCACCTTGTCCAGCAAGACCATGCTCAAAGACATTGTGAATACTAGAACGAGAATGATTGCATTGAGCAGCATGAGGAGTACAAGTACCAAACCCTAAAATGTTGTACCCCATATGAGCTACCCCACTACAGCCTACA